GCAGGTGCTTGGTCCCGAGCATGCCAGATTCATGAGGTTATACTGTATACATATTCCTTGTATTGTAAATACCCAATTTTGCCCCTCATCACAGTGAGAAGAATGACAAGTATCTTTAAAATATATGCAAGACATCATTGCCAAGAAAAAATGGAATTGTTTAAGGGAATAAAAATTGATAAAGGAATAGTAGAACAGTATTACAAGGAAAAAATTCAAGTGGAATTTTAGAGACTTTTTAGGGACCACATTGTCTTAGACATGGTGCTTCCACATCACAACAGTCAGTCAGCCTCTGTCCTGAAGAGCTACTTAGGAAAAGAAGGAGTTATTCCTATTTTACAGATGGGCAACTGAGATTAAGGGATTTGTATGTGGGAAGTCCCTAGCAGTGCTGTCTAGCTGGGTGTGAGAGCTTCACTATTACCGCCAAGAATTAAAACTGTAATATAGGGAGCAACCTTATTTAGGGGAAGAAAAGGACTAAGCAATTGAAAAGATCCTTTCTTTCTTTAGTCTGTACAGTTCCATGATCTAGCTTTTGCTTATGCAATTTTTCTGACATGACAGTCAAAAAAAACTCCACAGAAAACCCCACACTCTCATGAATACTATGCTGTCATCTTTAGCATTTTGTTATTTGCTCCAAAGTTATTGTAATATTTTGCCTGAGAAAAGTTGTATGTAAATGTGGTAAGACAGTTTTGCCACTTGGTGGCACCAGACAAATTTCAAAGATTGGTTTTTTTAAACAGAGAAGCTACTCAGCTGTTTTTTTGCAGAGCTCAAAAGTCAATATAAAACATACTGCCTGTAGTTCTGAGCACAAAAAAAAGTCCCTTAAAGATTTTTCAGCATCTGATGGACTGCACCGTCACTCAAAGTCTTCTAAATAGATCAGACATTTCCATGTTACTGTAAATGACAGACAACAAGGCCTTGATACAGAAAGTTAGGAAATTAGGAATATGTTCTCAGTTTGATATGCAGAGTTTTATTTGTGTCAGCATACAGTCACTCAGCTGAAGTCATTTCAGTTGTGCCAGGTATGTATACTACATCCTAGCTTCCAACTCCAAGATGCCATAATGTACGTTTTGCAAGAATGAAGTAGTAATTTGATTAAATTGTACTCCTGGGGTTGATTATTTGAGCAACTCCCCAAACTAGAAAAACAAAAAATTCTACCACTGGTAGTTGTGTTAAAGTATTATTGCATTCTGCAATGTTAGTCTTACAGTGACCTCTCCAGTTCACTGACTACCCCTCTCAAAGGCATTCTTTCCTAGTTTCCTGTAGGGAGAGAGATTCTCAGTTCAGTGGCTCTGAGGCTCACCGTATTGATTTCTCAGCTGTTAGCATTAAAGGGCATCAGCAATGAGCTACATTAATTCTGTTACAGATTCTTCCCCTTGTTTTTTCTGAGAGTGTTATAAGAATCTGGCATACAAAAAAACTAGAACTCTTGGTTCCAAAATGATACCTTTTATTAGACCAACTGGAAAATGGCAAGAAAATTGTCCTGCCATTTTCCAGTTGGTCTAATAAAAGGTATCATTTTGGAACCAAGAGTTCTAGTTTTTTTTGTATGTCTTTTTGTCTCAGACCAACACGGCAACCGAGTACACCTCGTATAAGAATCTGATGTTTCTTTGGGGTTATTAGCTGTCAAAGGAATGAATCCCAGGAGCAGGCATCTGCAAGATTATTTCCTAGTCTTTCCATTGACTGCATAAGGATTGCTAGAAGCTTCCCTAATTTAATTCTATATGAATCCTCTGATTTGCTGTAACCTGCTTTCTGCAGTTTTAGCCTCTTTCTTTCTTTTCGTCTGTCCCTGAACATGTTACACTGCCTAATTATACCCTGTTATGTGTTTCAGTGAGAAAGAAGGAGGGAGGTGCTAATGCTCATCAAAGTGACCAGCATTTCCCCCAGCCTCCTTCTATTTCAAAGGAAGCGGCTGCTGCAACATTTGGGTATTTCATCAAGGTTAGGCATGAAAACTGAAACTCAATGGGCTTCTGTTGATACAATGTGAAAACAGAGTCTGTGTAAGCAGTCGGAATCAAAGTTGATTGAATGGATCTTGTCCTTTCTTTGCCAGTTCCCCTCCTGCATTATGGATAAATGGGAATACATGACGCCAAAGGGAATCTCTACATGTATGTACACACACACAAGCAAGCACACTTTGGCGGATGGGTGAAAAAGCTAACCATTTTGGCACAGTTGTTTTCCCCTCCATGCCCAACAATCCTATAATGATCTGTTATTCTGATTATAAGCTCTTTGGGGTAAGACCTTTCTATGTTCTGTTTGTACAGCACCTAGTACAGTGGGCTTCCTAGGCTCTGTGGAATATAAATCCATTTTTGCATTCTGGTAGTGCCCATAACACACTAGTTGTTGTTCACACAAATAAGAGCACTATATTAGACCCCCAAAACTTCTAGTCAGTGTTTTTCGGTCATCTTTGACATGTCCAACAAAAGTCTAGGAGGTATATGATTTCAGAAGCTTGCATTAACAAGAGATTTCACACTGGTTTTAGGCAACAGTATATTGCCATCTAAAGGCCTTTACTGTTTAATTTAACTGAGTTTGAATTAAATCAGCAGTAGCACTCTAGCTATGCAAAGAGAGATCACAGAGGTTTCTGTCTCTGGTATGTCTTGGAGGACAGCTACAGTTCCGCTTAAAGAGAATTGTTCAAATCCACTAATTTTTCAATGCTTGCTTCCATCCTCTCTCCCTGCCCTGTTGGAAAAAATGCTAGAGACCCAAAAGGTATCAAGGCGCATCCAAATGTGTAGGCATGTACAGTTTGTGGTGCTTCAAGCCACACGAATCGCACACTAAACTGTGCATGGTGCTGCTAATTTGCAGCGTGGGGGCAAAGTTAGCTACTGGGATTTCCTCAGGGTGCCTCAAGACAGTAATGCCAAGCAGCTGTGGGCTGGCTGCTGCCCAGTCTCCGTGTGCCTCAGCTGCAGAGCCCCCGTGCTGAGGCATGTGGAACCCCTGCCCAGAGCAGCTGGCTAGGGCGCAGTGCGCTCAGCCAGGGGCTCCACAACACACAGTGACAAGGGAGCAGGTAGCCCTGCACTGAGCATTAACTGCTAAAATAAAGCAACTTTGAAAGATTCTAGCAGCTTTATCACTGGGTATCAATACTGTACTCCAACCACTTTGAAATGGCTGGTGAAAGTCTGTAGCAATTAGATAATTGTTTCATTAAATATGATTAAATCCAAATGCCTGTAATTGATGCTTCCTGTAAGCATTGGCATAACAAGACTTAAATGAAAGTAAATAGAAGCTCTTACTGTTCCCACTATCAAAATTCCAGAGGAAGGGGTGCACAAAGCAATTAGACCAACAGATGGGGTATTTATATTGATATTTTAAGTGTGGGTTTGTTTGTTTGTTTAGTATTCTTATTGAAAATGAGAGATCTCATCTGCCATATAAGAACTGGTACATTTAGGGTTTGTTTAGTAATGTACATTTCAAAACTTCTGCTTTTGGCACTCCAGTCTCTAACAGCAGCAAAGACTCTGTAGCCCAGAATGCTTTTCCACCCGTTTTCAAGCTGAGTCATCTGCCTGGCCTTTAGCCATAGGAAATGATACACAGGAATTAATTGGTGGAGGAGGGGAGATGAGAGGGTTGGTGGCTATAGTAATCTGATAAATGTTCTGGAAAGCATGCTCATTCAGATGGAAGAACCAATCCCTCAACTAAATGGTGGTGCAGCGTGGCTCAAGGCTCCTAGCATCTGCACATTGGCGCAACTCAGTCATCACAGTTTTCTGCAGGAAGCAGAAGGCATTGAAGCTTTTATACTTTAGACAAAGCCTTTCCTTGATGCACATGTTTACCATGTGAAAGACTGCGCATCTCTCTTGACATGTAGGTGTGAAATTTAGCCCAGGATCAAGAGAGATCCTTCTATTCGGGGCTTTTAGTTTAATTTTAGAGTCTGTGCCTGCTGTAAGATACTGCAGGGTTTTGGCAGCTTATTTTCCAAACAAATCATAATGAATAAGGACAAACCCAGAATGTACAGACTTACAGCATTTTATCTTGAAAATTCTGGTTCTCATCATCCCCCAACCTTAGCTGTCAGTCATGGACCGATAGCCATTATGAAATAGCAGTCAGCTTTGTGCTGCTGCTGATCTAAGTTTAGAAAGTTGGAGTTACTATGGACACTTTCCTTGCTGCAAACAATGTTTTTGGATATTCTTCTTTTGTGGGGGTGCAATGGAAACCAGTCATCTTGCACTGGGAAATAACTTTTCCTCCCTAAATTCTTGTGCCCAAATTAGAAGTTACAGTCACAACAGTTCCATTATAAATCTTGTCCCTCTCCCTCTTCCCAAACCTTTCAGCACAAACACCCTACTTGACCTTTTTTTTCAAAAGCTGATAGATTTTACCTGGGGCTATCACTTGGCGCTGGAGTTTTAGGTCTAGAGGAAATTTGTTTTGAAGTTATCCTAAACAAAATAAACATGGGAAGAATTCACTGTTAACTGTAGATTTTATGTCTAGATGTCATGAGCCTGATTCTAACCTGATTTCCATTGGTGTAAATGAGTATCATCATACTGAAAGCAATTAAGATATTCAGGGTTAAACAAGATGAGGTATTAGATTTAGGCATGTGGAACTCAAAAATAAATAATTTAGTCTTCCAGTTCTTCCCTCTCTCTTCCATAATTTGACAAAATTATATTCCTCTGCAAAGACCCAAGGACTGTTTAGATGCTTTCTTTGGAGGAGCAGCTAAACATGGCTTGCAAATACTATAGGACCTTCATTGCCAAAAGTACTGAAAGGTACACTTTGGGAAATGATAGAAGGTAATTATGTCCTTAATCATGTCTGTCATTTTTAATTACACCCTTTGCAACTGTGACGCTTCTGGGGACAAATACATTATTATTGCCGTTTGAGATTGTTCCATAAGCCATGTTTGTTTCCTCCTTTAGGTTTCGGCATAGTCCAAATTGCTGGTACCTAAGAGAATGGACCATCCACAACTGGATCAGACAGTGTTTTAAATATGGTGCACAGGACAAAGCCTTGTACACATTACAACATAAGGTGAGGCATTCAAAAGATAAGCCAAGCATGCATCTGACAGCATTATGAGATGAATAAGGATTGCCTCTATCACCAGCAAGGATTGCCTCCATCACCCTGTGGATGGAACTCTGGGCTTGGGACACGGTAGTTGGATTGAAAACATTCAATAAAAGCAGGGCTTGAGCTTTTTTCTTTTCCCCAGCTGCAGCTTACTGTTCATTTTTAACATTTAGCAGTGTCCAAAGTACTAGACATACAGTCCCTAACTAATCCTGAAGAACTTGAAGGGTAGAGAAAGGGACTGGGGAGAGAAACTGACTAAAAGGCCACACAAGTGTGGATGAGAGACATCTCGTCCAAGAATGCCAAGCACAGGAACCCCAACCCTACAAATATACGGATGCTTTACAGTTAAGCATGAATCTAACTGTCTGCAGGATTGCAGCTGTAGCTCTTAGTTCTTTTTTGTGTCTAATAGCATTGTCCAAAATGCTCTAGTCCAGGTGTATCAGATATGATGCCTGCTCTGGGACCCATACTGCATTCAGCACCCACCAAGGGTCAGTCTGGGATACCCCTCTCCCATTCCTACCCCTTCCCACCACATAGTGTGGGACTGCAGTGCACATGACACCTGCTTGGTTGATCCTGGTAGAAGCTGTATACAATGCCTGCTCTGGCTAGTCTCCCAGGCCAGTCAGAGCAGGCACCACATGTGGCATAGCTGTGGACCATCTGGAGAAGATGCCGCAAATGCTGGATCCAGCATGTGCGGGGCGGGGTAGTGCTGTTTATCCAGCCTGTGGACCAATCCCACATCACTCATCTGGCGCACAGGGCTAAATGAGTTTGACAGCCTTACTTTAGTCACCCTAGCACCTTCACAACTTGTAACAGAATATCCTATTTGTGTTCTGTTTCTCATATTGTATTTCTCCTCCCTTCTTCAGATACAATATGGAATTTTCCCAGATAATTTCACTTTCAATATATTATTGGATTATTTTATCAAGAACAATAATTATGAAGGTAAGAAACTAACTGTGTTCTGCATCATCAAATATATGCTCTAAAAAGATGTGGTATTTTGATTAGAAAGTTTTTAAGCGTATTAAATCCAGAATTTGATTATTCTTTTCAGCCACATTTTCTCTGAAGTAAGAAGAAATACCTCTTCTCTTCTCTTCTCCCTCTACTTTCCCCACATAATTACATCTGGTTTCTGTATTTTCCTGTGTCTTTACTTATAACTTTGAAAAACTTCAAGATGGCAGGCAGCAGATTAGTTCTAACATCTCAACCTGAATTGCTCTCTCTCAGACTATATATTCTAGTGCTGCCTTCTCTGGTGGGATTGGGGGTGGGGAGCATTTATTATGAGACTGGAAACAATGTCTGTTTAATAGTGGCTGTATTGCAGACAGCTTAATCCCAAAGCCATAGGGTGTTTGCTGAAAAACATGTGTTAGATTGCAGCTTCAGCCATGTTTCTCCAGTAATGAAGGCTTGCATAAAAGTTCTGAAAGTGAGGACAAAATTGCTAAATTCCAATGATTGGCAACAGCTGGGCCAAGTGAGGTCCTCCCCCTGCCAGCCATTTGTCTTTTCTTTGAATTAGATGCTCAGGGCCTTTTGTTTTACCCACCATCCTTCTGGTGGAGAGGGTGGACAGTCCTCTGCGTCTTTCCTGTCATATTCGGTGCCTTGAAACTAAACATATGGGCCCTATGAACAAGCTAAGGTAAGCTCAGGTATAAACTTACAGCAGGTCAGCTCTGTAGTAACTAACACTATTTACACTCTTACGCTCCAGCAAGTATGAGGTTCCTTACCCCTCAAGAACAGGGGGTTAAACTACTCTGTATTCAATACAGGCTAGGACCATGCACTTGAAAAGTTGCCACAGAGTAGCTGATGTGCTGTAAATTCACACCCTAGCTTACTTATTAGTTGCTTGTTCCTGTAGCCATGCCCTGATTCAAGTGTCTTGTATTATGTGCAAGGTACTTTCACAGAGCTAAAACAGTCATTTTTAAAGGCAGGGAAAAGAAACACATATGGCTGTGGACCATAACCTTTGGAGAAGGTCAGACTGCAGAGTGATCAGCAAAGGTATCCTACACTGCTCCACTGAACTGCCTGGATGCTGCTGTATTGCATTCCCTCTTCCCAGCATTCTACTTGAGTAGCCTCAGAGAGCTAGTACTAGAGAATTAGTCTAAGAATGAGAAGGCTTTTTTAATCTACCCTCTTATTAGTTTATTAGGGCTCTGTTGCTTCATCCACTGAAGTAATCTGGAATTATATCAGCATTTTCAGTAAGAGCAGAAGGGCTAATATTAAATTACTCTATCAAGTCTACTCATTAACTGTTTTTGTTTCCTTGCTAGATGCAATGTCAGTAGTTACAGAGATCATGTTGCAGGAGAGTTTTGATAAACTCTCAACACAGCTTCTCTCTCTCTACACCTTATACCAGTACCTGGCGACCAAATCAGAACATACAGTAAGCTTTGCTGCACATTGAAACTATATGGGTTACCGCATACTCAGCTGGGGTTTGGGTTGAGTAAAATTTACCTAGAGAATGATGTGAGCCACCACCCACTCTTCAGTTTATTTCTTCAAAATGGGGAAAATGATAACAACTGATAGGGACAGCCATATTTTCCTTTTTCTCCAGAGGAGAAGCTGGGTATTTCTGGAAGTTAAGGAGATTAAATAGGGAGGCACTAAAAGTTGTGAAGTTGCAGATCAGGGTTTTCTTTTTTTGTCTGAAGGATTGAATCTTACTTGGCTCCAAGCCACTTGGCAAGTGAAAATACAGCTGCTGAGAGAATTTACCCAAGATGTACAGTATGAGAAACACTGCTCAGAGAGCATTTAAAGGTTGTTTATACATGTTATTGTTTTTAACAATAGTGTAATTAAGGTCATGGCAGGCCAGTGCAAAAAAATAGTTGCCTCCATTGCTGGCAGCTGGCTGCACTGCTATTGCTGCTGCCACTGCCCAGGGCACAGAGCTTCCCTATTATGCCTTTGGTTTATAATGGTGTTCCTAGTATAAAAAGGAGAAATGTGAATATTTCATTGGCAATAACTAGTGATATTCCAGTGTTGTGAACATTTTCATTAATATTTCTGCTACCTGTTGGACTTGGAGAATACTAGATTCAGTTGCTTGTTCTCGCATTTTATTTATGTTTCATAGTAGGTGAATCATTTACCCCTAATCTGCCTCAGTTTTGATTTCTTATTCATAACCACCAGGTTCAAGGCCAACGTGATAGTTGTAATCCTGGCAAGTGGCATTACTGCAGAACAGCCCAGCCAGTGATCTGCAGTACTCATCAGGAAGGTTATTGGTAATCTTGTCTGGCATAGGTCTTCAATAGTGCATTGTTATTGATAAGAAAAGTGTTTGAGGACACCATTCTTGTTTCAAAAAGTATTTGGTAACATAATGTATCCCATAAATGCCATAAGGTTTTAATCAATTGGATTGCAGTTTCAGATTTTTTTTGCATAAAACTTGTTTGCAGTATTCTTCTCGTAGAAGCCAGTCAGTTTGCATGATCAGTGGCTTAGGAAAAAGCTCAATCAGAAAATCAGGAGGAAAACTTTATCTTCTAGTTGTGTATGTGCAAACCACCTGCACCCAAATTTTGTACACTTTTGTTGTGGACATAAGTGCTAAGCAATGTGCACAAAAACCACTTGTTTAAAATGCAGGTGTACGCACTGTCCAACATTTGTACATACACACCAATGCCAGAGCTTGAGAGTGGGTCCCTAGATGATGCATTAATTTGGGAAGCTGAATCCTTCTGACTTGTAAAGACCCCATACACCAGAATGCTTTTGGCATCTCTCTCTCCCCCTCTCTCTCTCTTAAGGCTATTAAATTTGTTTAATACTATTTAAAAGGTGAGGGTAGAAGCAAGCTGCCAGCATGCAGTGCCAAGTCACCAAAGAGTTTGAGCCTCTTCAATCCAGTCTTTTGTACCTCTGTTTTCCTTGGAGTCCTAGCTGATGAATGCAGTGCTTGCCTGATATCTGTTTATCCTCTGTTCCACACCGGATAGTGGGTTAATTCTTGAAGTCTCCTCCTTTGTTTTTGTTTTGCTGAGGGGGTAATGCAGGATGTTTCCCAAGACCAAACAACTCTTATGGTTTTAATTTACTTACTAATTTGACCCTGCTCTCCTATCATCACTAGTGGTCTTTGGTCTCGAGGGAAACTCATGCAGAGCAGTTCATCTAACAAGATGTCCATGTCTTCAGCTTACTGTGAACTTGCAGTAGCATTTTTAGTATAGTGGTGTGTGTGATTGGGGGTTTCCATAATATACCCTTAGTAGCATAGATTGTGCAGAAGGGCAGCTCCTAGTGCCATGCTCTTCCTCTCCCTATGTTTTTGTATTCTCTTGGTGACCCCTTCTCATTGTGGTTGCTGGAGTCATGCATGTTCCTTTCTGCTCCTATGAATCACTCCCTGCCCACATGGACTTTTGCTGGGTTTTTTTTTTTCAAAAGTGGCTGCACCAGTATACAGATCTGGGTAAATTTTAGTTTCAGCAATACTAAGTTGAAGCAAATAGTAGGAATTTCAGGATGTGAGGGCAGAATCTTAGCTGGTAAAATCAACCGTTATAGAAGTTTACACTGGATTTATACTGAGTCACTGAAATTGCTCTCACACTCTGTTTCAAGAAGAGCTGCATCTTTCTAAATATAGGTTACTGCTGTCACTCTGAATGGGATGGTGGCAAGCAGGGTGGGGGAGAGGTAGTACCATTGATTTGTTTAATGTTTTTTTACCTTAAACACAAGGTTAGTGTGAGCTAATTATTTAGCTAACTTTTGCAATTTTATCATTGATCTACACAATACTTACTAAGTATGAACCATTTACAGTGGGAAGAAGAAAGAAACCTTGGTGCATCCTTGCTGCTTACAGGCCTAAAACAGAAAAATACTGTGGGTTTTAGCTCCCAGCTCTATGGATATGCATTAATTGGTAAGTTGTAAGACCCTTACCTAATTTTCCTTTTATCCTTATTAGTTTACTAATGAAGAGTCTCATTAAATTACTTCTTTGCAGAAATAAAATGCAGTAATTTACACACACTAATACTAGGCCTAAAGAAAAAGTAAGGCTTACTTGTATGGTACATAAGGTATGTCAAGTAGTACCAGATACTGTGTTAGGCAATTTTATATTTTTGTGCAGTTTAACTCTGATCATTCTGAGAACATGGGAACATGGGTTAAAATGAATGGAGCCTTCTTCCCTCTCCACTGCAAAACTGCAATTTACCTCTGTGTAAAAGCATGTTTTGGCAGAAAGCTTTATCCATTTGTTCCATCACTGTTACAGTTCCTGTTAGAAAGCTATCAGAGGTAATACAAACTAGACATGTTTTGAAAATGTAACTTCAAAGTAAAATGTATAGTGGCAGAATGAGGATGCTGATTCTGATTTAAGCTGACTGTAAGACAAAATGCAGTCAATCAAAAAGGAGGACAAAAATGCAAACTAATTTGACAGCAAACATTCCATGAGACTCATGGTTTACTGTTGACCAAAGACAGCAATACAGACTAGAAATGTCTGTTCTCTGCTTGACATTCAGACTTTTTTAATGCCATATAGATTGTCTGGGAAACTTGTTTTTAGAAAATGGACTTCGCTGTTGTCTGTGAGCAAGTGCTCAATTCTGCAACTTTGACATTCAGCGGATCACAAACTGTTTACTGCTGTGTCACGTATCCTACAATCTTGCCAACACTAATGGAACAGAACTCTGCAAGAGTGAAAGATGTCTACAGGCACAGCCTTGCCTGGAGCACTTTAACTATTTACATTTATCCATGGTCCATAAGCTTTGTGCACTTATTACTATACTTTTCCTGAATCATCCTCCCCAGTGTAAGAAAAACCCAGGGTAGGTTTTAATGGTTTACATTTGTCAAAATCTTAATTCTAATTAAGCTGAACACTTAGGGTATTTATAGACATGCTCTGCGAGGCTCTTAAATTAGTGCTGCTTTGAGAACCATGCTAATTAAAATGCCCGGAGAGTCACGTGTATCAGCATCCCTATGCTGAAAAATGGTGACAGGGCACTTTGAACTAAAGCTTGTCAAATGTTTGACGAGCTTTAGTTCAAAGTGCCCTGTCGCCATTTTGCAGGGTGAAGGGGAGAGGGGCTAGAGCTTTAGTTCAAGCGCCCCCACTGTCATTTTGAAGTGTGGGGATGCTGAATATATGTGACACTGTGGGCATTTTAATTAGAGTGGCTTCTGAAGTCTTCATAAGTGAAAACTCCAGTGGGAACATCCCCAAAAGCAAAGAGTCTGCTGGGCACGCAGGAGGCCACTCCTGTAAACGTGATCTAATGTCTCCTGTAACATCTCCATCTGAAAGGCAGATTACTGCTTACATGGCTCACAGGCCTGCTTTATGGCTCTGTAGAGAATAGCCAACTCATCCCTTGTCTGAGGCCTCAAGTGATAAAATATAAACCCTTAAAATGTCATTTTACTACAGGGAAAGTGGAGTTAACTAAAGGCCTGCGAGCTGTGTACCATCAAATGCCACTGATATGGACACCAGGATACTTAAACAGAGCTCTGCAAGTGATGGAGAAAGTGGCCTTGCTCTCAGAGGAGATAAAGCTCTGCAAAGAAGCAGTAAGTGTGAAAGAGCATTAAGATGGAATAGTTTTGCACAGCATGTGGCTTGAGGGCCCTATGTAGCCAGTATCCTGGACTTCCTGGCTTGGTAACTGCACAACAGAGCCACAGCTAACTGATTTTCAGGTTTCTGGTGATTTTATACCACATGGCTGTCACTGCATGAGAGCCCCCCTTCTCCTTGCTGCTGCGCCACATGAGCCTTTCCTGCTACTCTGCAAAGGCCCCAACCCACTGCAGGAGCAACCACCACCCTCTGCATTGCAGGGGCTCCCACCACAATACAGTACACGATCCCTCCTTCTTCACACCACAGGGCTCCCTAGTACCCCTTGCCACACTTCACAGGCCCCATGGTGGTACCACATAGGCCCCCAATGTGCTTCACAGGCTTCCTGCTATACAGTGCACCACTGTGTAGCCCCACCATACCACATAGCCCTGCACACCCAGGTGCAACACATAGGGTTCCCAGGTCCCTTGGAGCCCTCCCACCACGGGCTCCCTCAGCCCCATGAGCCCTACGACTCCACCCCAGGGCAGGGGCAGGCAGTGGAAGCTGAGGGAGGGCAGGAGGTAGAAGGAACCTGGGGACTCCAGCAGCAGCAGCAGAAAGAGAGCAAGAGGGAGCAACACTCAGGCCGGAAGTCTGGGGGCTGCAGTTTAACCTCTTGGGGGCTGCCAGTTGGGCAACTGTCCTACAACAAGCAGCATATATCCAGCTGCATCCAGCCTCAAAGACCAACATCTTATAAGAAATTCAGCGAGCCAAACAATGCTTAGAGCAAAAACATTGCCTCCGATTTCAAACCACTTGCAGCACCCCTGCCAGGGAGTCCCCTCATGGGAGGTTCCACAGCACCCACCAACCCAGCAGTTCATACTCTTAGGCTTCCTTTCTCATGGCTCCTAGCCCAGGAAGGGAAGAGCCTGGAGTATGCTACCTTCAGCTTCTGCCAGCTGGTGAAAGTTAAAGTTCCTGGGGCTGGGGCACAGAAGCGGGGAAATTTAATTGGGTATCAGTTGTCAGCTTCTCTTTCTACCCTCTTCTGGATGGCTATGCTAAGAAAGGGGGAAGGGACCTGTCCTTTACTAGGTGCCCTCTAGGCAGAGCCTGTATTATGCATCAAGGCATGGGCAGTCTGTCTAGTGGCTAATGTAAGTCAATAGCCAGAGGGCTGAGGAATAGCTGGGTCGAAGTCAGAGGGTCAAAGTCCAAATCAAAGTCAAAACAACAGGCAAAGCAAGGTTGCAGAGCAAGCTAGGTCAGGTATCTGTGAGAGCCAAGTTCCAAACAGTCCAAGCCACAAGGCAAATGCAGAGGTCAATGTCCAGGCAGGGTCAGCAACATGTGGTCAGACCTGGAATCAGGAGACAGCAGGACAGTCCAAGGGCAGCAAGAGCCTTGCTGTTCAGATAGCTTCCTCAGGAAACCTTATATAGTAAAGTAGGTAGGAGGATCCAATTAGCATTTGGGAGCCCAGGGCCAGCAGTAGGCGGCCTTTTCCCAGTGAGGCATGGTTGCCTGTTACTCCACCATTGTCCATGACCTGTGGCCTGATGGAAGACCAAGCTGGTGCTCAGCTTGGGGTTTGGGCCAGGTCCTGACAGCTAGTGAAGTTCCTGTCCTGCCTCCCCCACCTCTTGTATCTCTAACAGTTGTGTATATATAGGAAGGAAGCAACTATTGAGTCTGTTCAGGGCCATTGACTGCATGGTTGAAGCCAGCTGTTGTGTTCATTATGGAGCAGCAGATCTGATCTGGTCACTTCAGGTTTATATTTATCTTCATAGGAAGCAGTGATTGTGGTCAAGGCCTGGCAGTGTTCTTTCACTGCTGACTTTACTGAATGAGAGAGGTACTTTACTGAATGAGACTTCACTGACTGAACCATCAGAGGGATGAGTACAATTCTGAAAAAAAGTTCGACCTAAGAGCTTAGGTCACTTCCTTGCTTTTCAGAATTCTACCCTGTGGTTTTTGTGAAGTCTAAAGTGCGTTTTCAGTTTTCTGGTCAAACTTGTAGAAAATGAGGTTGGTGCTGATCAGACACTGTAGTCACATTAAGGAGACACTTGTCCCCAGAACTGGGATTAGTGCCTAGCAGGGCTAAACAAGCAACGTGCATGAGATATTTGTATATGAAACATCTTAATTTCTGCAAAAGAGGGTCTTGTTGACCTGATTCTGCTCTCAGTTACCAGGGTAAATTAGAAGGTGCGTGCATGTGGGTTGAGGATAGGAAATGGGGGATTGGGTTTAAGTCGGCAAATATGAAAAATCAGTTGGCATGGTGTAGTATTAACAAAATGCCTCTCTCCAAATGACTATAATTATGATAGTACAAATCAAAACATTAGGCCTTATTTTTAACTAGCTGAAAACTAATTGAGTTACATTGACTTGCATCAGCTGAGGATCTGATGCATTTCATTTCAAGGTTCACCAAGAGCTTACTATTGAAAATCCCTTTAGATATAAAAATATGTACATGATTAGAGTGACTAATAGTATTTGACTAGCTCAGACACTGGAGCGAGTCCTGCTACCACTGAAGCTTATGATTGAAGTGAAGAGCAGATCTTCCACTGACTCCAGTGCATGCAACCTGGTGTTGTAAAACTTTTCCTTGCAGTGTCCTGGGTCTCTCTGGAGCAAGCCTTTCAGAGGCTTAAAATTACATAGCAATTTTATGGTCTGAGTAAAGAAAGGCTGCTTCAAAACCACTAAATTCTTGTGCCTTTGTATGACTCAAGGTAGTCAAGTTGTTTGAGAAACCCAGCAAACCATTCTGCCCTCTAATCCCACTCTTTTTTTCATATGTACAGTGTATTGGTGGCTGAAAGCTTTTCATTATCTAAAGAGACATTTCAGAATTACTTTGTTTCCATGATGCAGCACCTGGTTAAATATTTCCAGTTGGCAAAAACAGCTGGCAAGTTGGCTAGAAAGATATTTCTTGTCCTGCTAAGGTCTAATGCTTCCATTTATCTTTGGCCTACAACACCTCTTTCCCCACTGATCCAAGACTCAATATGCATTTTTATTATTATAATACTATACCTATTACTTGACTGCTTCTGTACATGAGAAAGACGTATAAGGTTAAATCTCTAGCTATTCTGAGGGACTCTCTAAATGAGAATATACATCTTTCCAAGCACACACGTGTTCTTTCTGTTTATCTCATCTTGCTGTTACATTATTAGTAGTTTCAAGCTGGTTTATAGAGCCATTAAATTACAGTATCAAGAAATGAGCAGTAGGGAAATATTCCATTTCAAATAAGCCTGATTTTGCTTCATCAAATGTTATACAAATGCAAACATTTAAAAATGATCTTCAAATCTAAATGCAGACTGGAGGTATCAAGCTTACTTTTGCTCTGTGGGGAGTATCTACCTTTACCTTAAAAACATTCAGTGGTTATTTATAGATGTGCTTCATTACAGTGACATCTACGCAAAATGAGAATTCAAAGAAGAAAAGCAGCTCTTTGCATTTTTATAAAATTTGAAGCTGAAAAATACATTTCTGGATTATCTGAATATTTTTTGTTTTGGGGAAAATGCTTCTCCCCTCAACCATACACATACAGATTTCCCTTAAACACATGTAAGCATCAAAATAGCAAATACCTTCAATGTTTTGGATACCATGCTTGGTATTGCTAATACATATAAAAACTGTTGGTTAATTGAGCTAATGTGTTCCTTTCAGTTCTGAGAGGGGAGATTTCCTTCCAAGAACCAAAGTATCTTGAGGTCAGGGGTGTTTGTCTCCATGGGCCTGAACCAGATTTTCAGGTTTCCCCATGTGCTGGATGACCCACAAGCAGCAGTGGGGTAATATCCCAAAGCTGCCAGAGCCTCTGTTTCAGCACAGCTCTAGAACCCAGGGAGTAAATGCAGCTGCTGCTTGCCCTTTCTTTTCCCCTTACCACCAATTTTAGTCACCAGGGTTGACTAAGAGCTCCAGTGAAGTAATACTGCTCCTGGAAGAGCTCTAACAGCCATAGCAACAAACTCCTTCAAGAAGTCCCCTGGGCTATATGACCTACATGCATGGGCCATATGCTTGATACCCCTGCTCCAGATGAAAGCAGTGTGAACAGAATGAGGAATTTGCATAAGTTAAAACCTCATATGTACTGTGGATGCTATATGTTTGTGCTCCTTTTTCTGTTCTTGCAGTTAAATCTAAATCACTTCTGAATGCTGTCTTTTGTGATTCAGCTGAAGGAAACTCGAAATGAACATCAGCCAGAGATCATTCAGCTGCCCTGTTGTAGATATTACATAAACTTTTCATGGTAGCTTCCCATATGCACTTATTGGAGTAGATTGTTTGTGTTGTTTTCACTATGAATATTGTGAAATATTTATTGGCCAGGCATTGGCCAGACTAGTAGAGCAGCTAGTCTGTGTTTGCTTGGAACTCTATGCCACCCTGCATTAAGTCACCAAGAACTTTGCCATTGATATATGCATGGGAGCAGTTACATAAACTCTGTAAACACTTCCAAAAATCAAAGCTTTCTATTTCCTCAACTGATAGGTAGCATTAGTTCTTCAAACAGAACTGGTTTCTGTTCCCCTGGCAATAAAGCCATCTGCAAATGCAGGCTATTTCATGAAAAATCAAACTAATGATGTTGAAATAATGTTTGTCAGCTGCATGGTAACAATTCTGATTTTGGTTGTTCAGGTTGATGTTTTAGAGACCATTTTGCAGTCCATTCCTGAGGCAAAAACAGATCCAGAACCATCTCAAGAAGAAGTCACGGCATCAGTTCCCAAGCCAAAACAAACAGAATCAGAAGAATCAGAGTGGTCCAGGCTGCCTGAATACCTCACTCAATTCAAAGTAAGGGGTTTCTTTCTTACAGCTTTACTAAGCTACAGCAGGTTTCTACTGTATGCAGTAGCAAGTAAATAACTTCCTTTTATATGGGTAGGGGACAACCATTCGGTGCATCAGTTATGCTACCTGGCATGTTTTAAACTGACTTTGAAATGCATTTTAATTGCCTCAAACAGGAAATTGCCTTCAAAGAATCAAATGCTTAAGGCTACTTGTGTCTGTCTGCTGGGATTTTATCTTTACTTTTCATACATCAGACTGATAAATCAAGATCTAGTTAGTGAACATGCTGTGTCATTACAGATCCATTATCTGGCCTTCTGTGAGCTCTGTCTTGTTGCATTATATTGGTCAGATATTGTCCAGGTTCTGTTGGTCACTTAATGACAACATTCACAAATAAGAGTATTGCAACTTAAAACTTCAGTCTGGGATATCAGATAAGTCTCTATTCCTCCTTTCCCTTTTTTAAAGTCTTCCAACCACTGTTAACATGCAAAATGCAAATCCTTAATCTCATCATGATAACACTCATACATAAATAGACTATTTTTTATATTAATCACTCCAGTGATTTGCATTGTTGTTATATCAGATGCCCTAATTAATTGTTTTGAAGCTATGCTTCCAGCAGTGGCTGGTAATTAATGGATTTTTTCTTTTCTTACACAGTGCAAGCAGCATGTCAGATTTTTCATTACTGTTTTCATGACCATGGACAGTTGCTCTGGCCACATAGACTTGTTTTTCTAAACAAGTTTTAGAAGTAAATCTAAAGGACTTCCATGGCCTTTTTATCTCCCCCACAATTTAATTTTATTTGAGCTAAGCACCTTTTAGAATCAAACCCATTTGTATATATTCTGGGGGCTACAGACAAGAAAAAAGGACACTCCAGTTAAAATCTTCAGGAGTCTGTTTGTGCTTAGCATCTCTGCTAAATAAGTTTCTGGGAAAACAACAGCTGTGCTGACTGTAAGAACTACCGTACCCTACAAAGACTAAAAGGCTGGTACAAGAATGCCCAATGTGAATCCTGGTGCCAACTGCAGTCCACAGCTACATCCTCTGTACAAGAGTGAGGGTGGAGAGAAAACTGAGTTACTGTTGTTTTTTCCCCTCTTGCAGTTTCAAACTGCAAACAGGATCTGTTAATAGCTAGATCCAAATACATCAATAATGCATGTATGTATTTTATAAATTTTAAAAAATGTATAATGAGGATGCAGACAGATTTATTGGAGACAGCAGGCTCTGGTCAAGTTGCCTTCAGTCTTAAGGTGCCTGAGTAAACCCCTGCCTTCATACAACTGACAGTTTTGCTTTTCGTTCAACTGATAGAAGCTTATATTTTTCCATCTGAAGCAGACAACTTATGCTGTCCATACTGTATGTGCATGGGC